ATCCACCGTGCTTCCCAGCAGCTCTGTCACAGAATGAATAACCCTGATGTGGAGAAATCCTTGCACTTGTGCTGCCTTACAGTCAGGGAAATAATGGAGCTGATTGAACTATGTATTCCCTGAAACGAGGGCTCAGATAATCAAGCGGGAAATGTATTGGTCTCTTGGGAGTGCTAGTTTGTGTCTTCATCCTGGAAAGGAATCTTCCTTGCTTTCTTTTTCAGCAACTCAGTTCTGCAACTCAGTCCTACTGCACCCTCCCTCCCTCCCTCCCTCCCTCTCTCTCTCTCTCTATCTCTCTCTCTCTCACACACACACACACAAAAACTGACCTCTGCCTCCCTCTCCGTCCATCTGTCTATCCCTACATCCCCCATTCATCCATCATCTCTTTTTCCCCTTTTTATTCTTTATTTTAATTTTCTGTACACCCTTCTGGTGCAGAAACAGTTCTGGCCACCAAGCCAAGCTCCAGAAGAAGTAAAGGCCAACTCTGCAAAGAAGAAGAATGGCCTGAGTGGGCAGGAGGCCCAGATCCAATGAGAGACTGACAAGGCGAAACAAGTGGAACGCAGTGATGAGTGAAGTCTGCATGGCTTGCTTAGCAAGCTGAGCTCTCTAGTGTTAAGCTGCACATCTTCACAACCCATCAATCTACATATCCAGGTGTATTGCTTCATTTTATTGAAGAAAACACACAGCAACTTTTAACGCCTTTCCCCCAAAGCAAATAGGACCACATTTGCAAATTTTGTAAAGCTGATTCTCATTTTGGAGGGTGGTAGAAACGCATAGAAAAGATAAGGAATGAAAGCATGATTGTTTGGAACAAAATAAAGGGGGAAAAATAGAGAATGTTGTGCTTACTTTGCTAGCATGTAAGAGGGCATCTCTTGTCCCTGTGACAGAAAATAAGTTTGTCTCCCTCCAGCATTCCAAAAATGAGCCGAGACAAGACGTGATGAGATGAGACAAAATGAAACATGATGGTGGTTGCAATGTATCTTTGATTTCATGAAAGAGGGCATTTTATTGGGGGGGGGGGAGAAAAATATTTATTATTTATTTATTTATTAAAATTGCATGCCGTCCAATTACTTGCATCTCTGGATGGCTTACAACATAAGTAAATTGACCCACTCTGGCTGCAAGTTAATAAAATGCAACATACAATATAAATACAATATTAGAACGTATTAAAATATGGATTAAATAGAAAAGTCTTAACCTGACATTGAAAAACATATCATGACGATGCCAGGCGGACCTCTCTGGTGAGCTCATTCCACAGTCGGGGCGCCACCACAGAGAAGGCCCCCCTCCAGGTACTCTGTGTCCTAACGTCTTTCAAAGAGGGTTCCTAAATGAGGGCTTCTGTTGCCGATCTCAGGGTGTGGGAGGGCAAATTGGGAAAAAGGCATTCCTTTAGGTATCCCTGTCCCAGGCCATTTAGGCAAAAATATATGTTTGCCTCCCTTCAATATTAGCAGAAAAGCACGACGGTGCTTGCAGTGCACGTTCGGTGGAGACAGAGAGAGATGGAGGGGGACAACCTGTCCTCTCACAGCTTCCCCCTTCCTTGTTCCAGACCTTCGTCTATGAAATGGGGGCAGTATAAGTCCTGGGGAGCTGATCTTGCAGAGCTCTTATGCTCTCAAGCCCATGCAAATGAGCGCTACCCCTTCAT